TTACACCACAGTTTATTCAGACATGGCTCCTTTGCTACAACAAGCATATATGGGTCTGTTTTCGTTCCTTGTTTGTGTTACAGGTGTGTTTCTGCTACGGTTGTTATTTTTTCCTGCCACTGTCATCAACCGTGACCTGATTGGTACTTTTCCCATCCATTCCTGTCTCTGCCATATTGGGGAGACATTCCTAATATCTCATGGTTTGGGATGGTATTTTTTCTTCCCTAAATGCTGAAAAATATGGCTACCTATCTTCACATTTATGTGACTATATGTGAGGGCAATGAGATTAAATGAAGACTAAATGATTTCAAAGTAGGTGAGCACTCACTGCAAAAGAAAAAGTTCCCCATAAATGTGCAAGATTATTAGTTTTGGAAAATGGTTATGCGGGTGGATTGGTTGCAAATGACTGATCCTTTGAATGAAACGGCACTGTAGCAACATGCCACTATTGGACTTATTGATTGACTGAAGACACTGTCCTATGGTTTAGGTAGCAGTTACTATTATTTGTAAACAATTATTTCCCTGTGATGCAATAAACCATGGTATCTGACACGTTCTTCAAGGGGAATCTTGAATCTGTGGGCACTGACAGATGCAGTTCTGTCTTTGTGATCACTTACTTTGGTTCAACGTGATTTATTTCCTTGTGGAGATGTTAGGAGGCCATGCTGGGATAGGATACCAAGGGAAGGGGGAGAGGAAGTCTGTCTCTAAGAAGTTACTATATAATTCACAGATGCCTACAATTATAGAGCTACTACTGACTTTAAGGTCAGTGTGCTCCATTCCATCATTTGAAAAATCAGAAAAAAATGGACTCAAGGGAATTGTTAGTGGTTGTTAATATTTCTGGGATCACAGAGCCTTGGAGCATCTGATTCACATTATGAGTCTCTCTCTAGAATAATGCATGCATGCTTCAAACGTTGAACATTCTCATTTGGTTTTAAGGGTCTTGCTACAGACTTTTATCACTGGCCTTTAGGAACCCTGAGGTTCAATGATTTCTCTAAGGACACCCAGACGGGTGTCATGAGATATGCCTGAAAAAGATTCTTTGGTTGGAATTGAAACCACATATTTCAAGAATAGAGAACCAAAACTTCTGCCCTCATGTGAATGTTCCCTCTGACACAGAACCTCCTAGGGGCACCTGGGTGGCTCAGTTGGTTAAGCTTGTGACTCCTGACTTTGGCTCAGGTCACGATCTCATGGTTTGTGGGCTCAAGTCCTGAAGTGGGCTCTGTGCTGATATGAGGGACCCTGCTTGGGGCTCTCTCTCCCCCTCTCTCTCCCCCTCCCCTGTTCTTGCTCACTCTCTCTCTCTCTCGAAATAAATAAATGTAAAATAAATAAAATAAAATGAAACGGAACTTTCTATCTCTGCCTCAAGATATTGACATGCTCATTCTCAAATGGCAATTCAAAATTTATAATTGGTGTCACATTGGGATTTTTGATTAAGTCCTACTGCTTTCCTTAGGTGTTTCTCCTTCTTTATTTTTCTTTATGCTATTATGTTCCTACTGTGGTAAGATATTCTTCATTAGTATGGAAACATAAATAAGGCCCTATTTTACCCATAAGTGGGTCACCACCTACTGTGGACAGCAGTATGCATTATCTGTCGACGGTGTTTCAAGAGATGCTAAGTTACGTGTCACTGCTGAGATCTGAATGTCTCGACCCACCTTCATACACTTACTGATGTCTTTGCAGTCTTCACACAGGGGAAAATAAACATTTTGTGAATGGATGCCAACTACGTCATGCCAATACCTGCATGCATCTTTCTTAGGATGATACGATTTCACATTATTCCAACCAAAGGAACCCCCAAATTATCACAATTCACAAATTATGCCAGCCCAAGAATCCTGTCAAATCCTCATGGTCGAATTTTTTTGTTTGTTTGTTTTTGCACCATTTCTGCCCAAGATCCTGTGCTCCATTCTTTTGAAACAAATACCCAATTTTAGGCAAAACGTGCTGTCTGCCCTGGCCCATACCTTCTATATCTTTGACAGGTCTTGAAGTCTCTTGTCCTTAGACGCGATCACTATTTGTAGTTTAAAAAATCAAACTTAAGTCTAGATCAGCAAAATGAGTTACCCCCAGTTTTGGCGAGAATCTAAAACAGCTTTCATATAATAAATGCCATATCATGTGTGGAAAACTCTAATGTACTCAACATCATTCTAATACCAAGGAAACTAGGCTGTGCTCACAAAGGTCTTGCACATGAGAAGGCATCAGTTGGTCTGTTACCAGCATCAATAAAGAGGATATGGCGGTAACATGGAAAAGCACAGCTCAACAGACTCAGTTCCGTAATTTTGGGGGGAAGGAAATCATAAGACAAAAAGTATGTTCCGGTGTCTCAAACCCCAGCCCAATTATCACCTCGAAAGAGAACAACCCAAGACCCAAACCTGGCTTCGTTGAACGGAGTCATTTTCAGATATGTTGAGTTGGAAACCACAAGTGGAAATGCTAAGTGTTTGGTAAATACTGAGGAAACATCTATGAAATCCCCCTCCGGTAGCTTGTGTGAGAAAACGCAACGGGAGAATTGGAGTCTCCGAAATTTACATTTCCAATATGCAAGAAATAAATGGAAACAAAGCAAACAGATTCTTTTTAAGTACAACTTCTACATCTTTAGGGTAATGAGGTCGCTACTCATTCAATGGAGATGGCCTGAAGTCACTCTGACACGTCAGAAAATAGCTTGGATGTCTGGGCAGCTACGCTGGTCACCATCAAAAGCAAGGAAGTATCATTAAAAAAATTTTTTTTTAACCTTTATTTATTTTTGAGACAGAGAGAGACAGAGCATGAACGGGGGAGGGTCAGAGAGAGAGGGAGACACAGAATCCGAAACAGGCTCCAGGCTCTGAGCCATCAGCACAGAGCCCGACGCGGGGCTTGAACTCACGAACCGCGAGATCATGACCTGAGCCGAAGTCGGACGCTTAACCGACTGAGCCACCCAGGCACCCCAGGAAGTATCTTTTTAGAAATATTTAACTCCGATACGCAGCTGGGCCAGCCAGCAAACACTGACCTTACGATTAAGGTATGCGTTTTGAAATTCTGGAAAACATTTAAGTCCCGTATACAAAGGAGCCAACCAGCAAAGACTGACCCCGCAATTAAGCTTTGCATTTTGAAAATTGACCTTGGATTCTCAAATGCTATGTAGGGATTTTGCACTGGGCGCTCGCTCCGTTAGTATGTACCTTTGAATGGACGCTGCCCTCCAGTTTGCTTTAACCAGATTCTCAACGGCTCTGCCGAGTGTTGGCCTAAGAATTCTGTCGCCAAGGTTTAGGTCTGCATCATTTTTGTTAGGGTGACGAGGATCACTCCCCAAGCCCTGTTCTGTTCCTTTCTGGGTTTTTTCCTACCGACAGTCCCTGCCTCTCAAGGAATGTTTGCCCACACGTCCTCTTCTGGTCCAACCTCCGTCCTTGCAGCCAGTGCTAAGAAATCAAACGTACCAACTCCTTCAAAGGTTCCAGGATGAGTCTGACACTTCATCATCCTCGAAAGGAAACTCCTTCATTCTGTGTTTCAGCATTTAAGAGGTTTCTGAAACTGTGATTTTAAAACATTCGAGTCTATATTCATTTATTTATGACTACCACGGTGTTATGTCCTATGGTTGCGCACCGAGAGTCTTGAGTATCTTGTGTTTTCTGTGGCAGGCTAGAGAGAAGATTTTTTTGAGGGTTGTTTGGGAACCTTGCCATTGCTAATAACACGGCTGTGCAGAAACAAATACTTTATTTTCTTCCAAACAAATGACTCAGAGTTGAACCTTGCAGGCGTTGCCCGTAAACATTCATAAGCTTTGAACCCTACGAGGCTCGTGACTGATGCACCAGCCAAGGACAGGGAGCTGTTTTAGTGCTGACACGACACTCACAGCTGCACACGTGTCTCAGAATCCCCCTGCCTCACATAAGATTTCTCCCCGAACCTGTGCATTATTTGAAACTCCAAACTATTAACGAAAATGTTTTAACGTGTATTTCATAACCACCAACACTAATTTTCTTCTCAGTATTGATTAACGCCCTACCGTAGGATGCTTTTAGCAGCCTTAAAATATTGTGTTATGACAGATTTTGATGACAACCTGAGGCGCCACGTTTTTAAAAGGTTTTGCCATGTTTCACAGTTTAGTCCTCTGGTTAAGAAGTCAAATGAATCCATTTGGGTATACTCAAAATTAGCGAATTATGGCTCTCCCACAAATAATTAGATGCTAAAATACAGTGACTAAATTAAAGATTGTTATTCATACATAAATTAATGAATTTTTAAATGAAATATCCCACCGTTGTAAAAAGCTGTGATTATCTAATTCTAATTAATTTTCCACATGATTACAAATAACTCAAGCTTCTCCCTTCCACAATTATTTGCATGTCTTTCCCTGTACATTTCTATACTATCAGACCGTCTTAAAAATTAATTGAAACACATGAATGTTGCAGGCAAAGGTCGAAGATAGCTATTACGCCTGGCCGTATATTTTTACAGAGCGTGTACCCTGTGAGCTTATTTATTTTCATATTCACGGTGTTAAATTAAAGAGGCTGTTCCCTGCTTGCCACGGCTTGGGACTGGAGAAAGGGTAAGGTACTCCACGCATAGGTGACTGCTGGCAGCAGATGGGGACGGCTGTCTGGTGAACAGACCTTCCTTTCTTCTCAGTTTTTGGGAGGCTGATATTGTTTAAACGACACGCCCTGGAAAGCTCAGCCTCTCCCCAGCCCAGAGCATAAGGATCATTCGATGTGGGCCAGACAAGAGACTCTCACTTTCTCTTTGGTTGCGAATAATTTAGGAACAGCCACGAGACTGGTTTCTGATCACAGACAAACATTTCCTTCTTCGTATTCCTGAGAACTACGTTCCTTCCCTTTGAAGACCTGGACCCTTAGCCCCTTTCCCCTAATTCAGAATGACATATGTACCTCATTTTGCCTGTCGTTGGAATTTCCGTGTCTGTGTGGGTTCCCCGTACGTAGTAAAGTAAACGTGATTTTCTCATGCTCATCTGCCTCGTGTCAACTTGATTCTTAGTTCAACCAGGAGGACCTTGAATGGCAGAGGAAATTCTTCCTCCCCAACATCTGAAAATGGGTATAAAGAACAAGGAAAGAAGAGAGATTTGTTTGTTTGTTTTTTAATTTTTAAAAATGCTTTATTATTTTTGAGAGAGAGAGAGACAAAATGTAAGCAGGGGAGGGGCAGAGAGAGAGGGAGACACAGAATCGCAAGCAGGCTCCAAGCTCCGAGCTGTCAGCACAGAGCTGGATGCGGGCTCGAACCCACAAGCTGTGAAATCATGACCTGAGCTGAAGGCAGACGCTCAACTGACTGAGCCACCCAGGCGTCCCAGATTTGGGGTTTTCACTGGGTTAGGGCTTGGTGCTGGGGTAAGCTTCCAGCTGGCACAAAAGAACAGAGAACTGGGCTTTTCTATTAGTTTTTCCTTTCGTGGAGCAGAAGGACATAGACAGGCATGAAGCTAAAAAACTATGAGGGGTACAACAGGGAGAACACGGAGTCCCACTTTTTATTCCAAAGACAAGAGGATTAAGAACTATGGCCACACACATCCTGTGTGCAGCTTTCTCTCAATTTCCCAGTTGCATATCTGTAATTTTAATAAAAATATCAGGAATTAGTAATTACGTAACATTTGTGAAGGTACAAATCCCATGATTAATTTGCATGACGCATCATGGAGGCAGACATACCATGAACAGTACACTTAGCCATCGCCACGGCAATGAGTGATAAAAATGAATGTCACCACGTGTTCCCACTGGAACTGGACTGCAGCCACGGGACGGCAGATCCCAAAGGATGTATGGAAAATGGAGTGTTCGCTGATTTGCGGGGAGGAGTGCCCTTCATCAACATGGCTGGACACCTTGGTTCATTAAGGTGGCTTCTCCAAGCACTGTTCCTTTGCTCCCGGCTACCTAGAGACTCCAGCCAGTGTTTAAGGGTTAACTTGCTTCAAGTTAACACACTCCTTCTTTGCTGACCTAAGGCCCTTGATCTGTAACGGAACTAATTTACTTCCTTTGAGATCTGCAGTCCGGTGGCTTTTGTGGAGCAAAGGACCTGAACGTTCCCAGGTCACAGAGGCCCACAGGTCTGTTTGAAGGCCCTTGGTTTTCTGATAACCTTGGCCATCTTTGAGCACATGTTTTTGTTTTCTTAAGATCACACAGATGACTTGGCTGACCAAGCTGTGTGCATTTGTTGAGCCTGCCCTCCTGTGCAGAAACAACAGAGTGCCTTTGCACAACATTCCCCCCACCTGCCCTGCCTTTGGGGGTTCCAAAGAACCAGACCTTGCAAAACCACTCCCTGGGCACCGAGAACCAGAACTTCTCACACAACCTCAAAGCACCAAGAAAACTCTGTAGCCGAGGTCGTCGAGCCTGCCTGTTACCAGGAACATCACAGACCACTGCACTCCCTTAACTGATGAAACCCTTTAAAGACCCATGGGCCAGGCAGAAATCAGAGTTGGCTTTTGGACAGGAGTCTGCCTTCTCCCCAGGTTGCTGGCCTCCTGGGTGAAGCTGAAGTTCCTTTCCAATGAAAACTCATCTTTTGAGAATTGCTCTTTTGAGCGACAGGTGGTTCACCTGTGTTTGTTAACAAATCCTGCAAGAAACGCTCTTGGAAACAGTGAGGAGGCCAGGGGGCAGAGGTGAACACAGCAGAAGAATGCATCAGAACCGGAAGTGGGAGGTGTTCAGAGGATGCTGGGGGAGCACGGAGGGAGGGGGTGGGGACATCAGGCTGGCTTGTCGGGAGCACAACTGTGAGGACCCTGCCTCAATGTCCGCGAAGAACTGAACGCTGACGGTGAACAGGGATCCTTGAGGCTACCAAGCGCATGACCGCATCTCCCTTTGCCTTTCATTTGGACAGGGAGCTTTCCTCCTTACTCCTTGATTTGATGCACATGCTATTTTCGCCTTACACATTTTTCAGTGAAATAAATCCACGTTCGCCGAGAGGGTGTGTAATCGTGAGAGAAACAGAGTATTTCTCAGGTGCTGAGTGATGATCAAATTATTTGCAATCAGCTTCCTGACGGTTGATCTGCGGGCATCTCTGAGCGGAGTGCCCGACAGTATCGTGCTCGCATCCAAAGGGAAGAGTGTGGAGGCGGCACGGAGAGAGTGCCTCCCCAGCAGCCTGGCCCCACAGGCTCGTTTCCTGCCTGCTAGAGAGCATGGCTCCTCCTGGGTGACTTACACTGCAGGTCTCTGGAACGGAGCTTCGGGTTCGGGGAAAACGTGGCCAGGGTTTTCCACCCGACTGTTTCTGTTTCCTCCATCTCCTGACTGTAGGCCACGGCATCAGTGCAGACCCCGATGGGGCAAACAGCACACACAGGATAAACATGTCCCTCGTTCATGAATGCACGAGCAAGCGAGGGAAACCAGCTTGCCTCGCACCGAGCTTTCTTTAGAACCTAGACTAGAATGTTCCAGTTCTCCGGCCACGGCTGCCCTCAAATCCCTTTTGGTGTTGCTTCAATTAAAATATTATCCATCATCAGGGCGCCCGGGTGGCTCAGTGAGATGGGTGGTGTGAGATGATGTGTCATCATCTCACAGTTCATGGGTTCGAGCCCCACCGACAGCTCAGAGCCTGGAGCCTGCTTCGGATTCTGGGTCTCCCTCTCTCTCTGTTCCTCCCCTGCTCATGCTCTGTCTCTCTCTCTCCTCCAAAAATAAATAAAAACATTAATAAAAAAATTAAAAACAAAATCCTGGCCAGAACAGCTTCAGTAGTGTGATGAGATCATCAGTCAAATGTCAGCTAACTGGAGCCCACACGTGGTTGGAAAGAAAGAACATGGACCCAATGCTTTTCTGCTTGTTTTACCTAAGAGTTGGGGGGGGGGGTGTCTAGAGAGGCAGACCAAAATGCAAGATCAACACTGGAGGCCTTCTTCCATTTTTGACTCTTATCATCAGGGCAAGATTCGTATTAGGGTGAAAGTCTTTTGTTCTCAAAAGTTCAGGGGCGCCTGGGTGGCGCAGTCGGTTGAGCGTCCGACTTCAGCCAGGCCACGATCTCGCGGTCCGTGAGTTCGAGCCCTGCGTCGGGCTCTGGGCTGGTGGCTCGGAGCCTGGAGCCTGTTTCCGATTCTGTGTCTCCCTCTCTCTCTGCCCCTCCCCCGTTCATGCTCTGTCTCTCTCTGTCCCCCCAAAAATAAATAAACGTTGAAAAAAAATTAAAAAAAAAATAAAATAAAACAATTCATGGGGCGCCTGGGTGGTGCAGTCGGTTGAGCGCCCGACTTCGGCTCAGGTCATGATCTCGCGAGGTCTCGCGTGATCTCGCGTGAGTTCGAGCCCCGCGTCGGGCTCCGGGCTGATGGCTCAGAGCCTGGAGCCTGTTTCCGATTCTGTGTCTCCCTCTCTCTCTGCCCCTCCCCCGTTCATGCTCTGTCTCTCTCTGTCCCAAAAATAAATAAACGTTGAAAAAAAAAAATTAAAAAAAAAAAAGTTCAGAAAGGAAATGAATGCTGTGTTTGTGGGATACGCCCACATTAAAAGATACCAAAGATAGGTTTTTTTGAGTAAAAGAAAGAGGAAAAAGTTAGTTTGAGAAGGCATTGCACGTAATTGTGGTAATATTACTCTCACAGTTACGATAGTAAACACGTCTCGGGGAAGGACAAAAATCTCCCACTGACGTTTTCGTACATTTTCCAGAGATCCAAGCAATCATTTCTCCTCCTCGATGGCATCCACTTAACAGCCTAGCCCATTAAAAAAATCTCTCTCTCTATATATATATTTATATAGAGAGAGATATCTATATCTATATATATCTACAACAACTGCCAGTGTCAAAATAATCACTTCCGAGGGCCCGTGTCCCTGCCATAGTCCATCACAGCAAGGAAACCCCAAGAGCCTTTTCAGAGCTGACACTTGCCTTGGAGAGAACCTAACTCAGATCAGACAAAAAGGCATCGTCAGCCAGGCAGGTGTCTACAGGAGTCCAGTGGGCTCTCTCTCCTTCAGCACTGTGTAGACACCAGTGCTGAGAATATTCATCACCCATTAGCATGCGTAACCATGTCCTTGGCCCTCCGGCTTGCTTCTTGTATTTATAAATGTTGCATTTGAAGACTCTTACACAAAAATAAAGGCTGTTTACTCCCCCACGCGCGAGTTCCGGAAAAGCAGAACTGTCAGGCACTCACTGCAGAAGCGTCCACGGGCAATTAAGAGCTGAGGGTGGAATTAAGAGCAGAGAGGGATGTCAGAGCCACGTTGAAATGTCTCATCCTTTCTGCTTCTTTCTCTGAAAAGCTCCCTGGCATAATGGCTCTAAATTATTAGCAATTTTGATAGACATTCCTCCTCCTCAACCTTCTATCTGACACATCTCATGTATTAAATATCATAACAGCAGGCCCTGGAGATAAAGACTTCGGAGAATACCATTTGAAAAACCATAAATTTTGTAATATCAAGAGCATTTGGGGGGGGGGCGGTAAATAAACACTTTTAAGTCATGCATACCCAGTCTTTAAGAATGCTTTGCCGATGCTTGAACGAGGGCTGATATTTTCCTGGCGAAACCATGGACACACTCTTGTAAAAGACGTGTCCATCGTTTCTCATCATCATGGCAAGTTCATTTGCAACTTAACCAGCACAGTGGAGGGTTCCAAATAAGGTAGCCACGTGGATCAGCTACACGGGCTGGAATGGATTTCTGTTGGCCTGATGTTAAGACTGGTGACTCAGGTGCTATCAAGAAACGGAAGTTTCCATTGGTGGAAGCAGAAGAAGACACATTGTTCTTTCAATTCTCCGGACTCATCGTTCCAGGGGCGCCCGGGTGATTCAGTCGGTCGAACGTCTGACTCTTGGTTTCGGCTCAGGTCATGATCTCACGGTTTGTGGGTTCGAGCCCTGTGGTGGGGTCTGTGCTGACAGTGCGGAACCTGCTTGGGATTCTTTCTCCCTCTTTCTCTGCCCCTCCCCTGCTCTCTCTCTCTCAAAGTCAATAAATAAACATTAAAAAATAAAAGACGCATCTTGCCAGGAAAGGCCAATATGCATTTTTTTGC